TTGTTCCCCCATCCCAGTCTTATACTTTCGCATCTACTGACAAACTGCTCAATATTTGTCGCATTATCAGTTGATGAAGAGGTCAGTGCTTTCTGCCTCTGAAATCGTTAATTCAATCAGTGAAAATCTACCTCGTACACGACCACATACTCAGTAGTAGTTCATGAGAAATTTTCCCGCAACCCAAATAAAACCCAATCATTTTCCCGTCACCGATGATCTAACCGGGCTCAATGCCAAAACATTTGCCCTCGATCGACGGCAGCCTAATTGCAAATATAGGCCACTTTTGTCCGATACAAACTAAAAAATAAATATCTTTCTACTTCCTATTTTTATTTATTGCACATCAGATGTACGGCCAACANCGGCCAACATTCAGGAAGGGGGCTGCAGCCATACAAAGGCTGCCTGGGAAGACGGGTGGCGGTGGAGCGGTTCGAACCCGGGACTCCCGGGTCACAAGTTGGTGACCTAACCACTTGGCCACCACCGCCCCAACTACACTTGAGGATTTTATTAGCCGTTCTTCAGGCCTTGTCTTCATTAAAAATCCTCATATTAGGAAACACTCAACTCGAGTTTCATTCCTGTCCTCAGCTCATCATTATTCGACTTCTTTTGACACACGGGAAAGGGTTTCTAAGGTTTCAGATTCAAGTCATTTACTTTAGTTGATTGGTTGATTTTGTCAGCTGTTTTCTTTTTTCTGATCCCCTCCTCCGATAGTCCGTTCCGTCGACAAGTGAAACAAATCAAGTCAAATCATGTAGACGACGCAATTTGTGGTGAAGAAATTTATGATTAGCTATCATCTTAACTCCGTTAGATAATGTCTATGTATTGTCTAAGTAAGGCTGTTCCAAACCAATTATAGAACAAAAATATTGATGAAAGGGAAATAGGGCTATGATTTGTCTGTTGAAAAGTGATGCCAGGTTGATCAGATCAGAGCCCAACCCGCGAGGCATCCGGACGTTGTGTGGAAACCGAATGCCAATGGTGGGGTGGGGGTCTGTTGTTCAGTTTGCTCGATTCGCCACCCCTTAAACAGATTCAAACGTCCAAGGTAACCCATTTATATCTCCATACACACTGAAATTGGCGACCACTGTCAGAATCAAGAAGATTGCGGTGTGGTTTTTGCCACTGTTCTTACTTGGTTTGGAATTAGAAATGTCTTATCAAATTTTCTGGGCAACCTTGTGGTAAGTAACTGATCGACCCGGTTTTAGCCCTCGACTATAGTGAGGTTTTTGGAAACGTAATCTCAAGTATTATTCTCCACGACATTCTTCCATTTCACACGAGTTCTTCAACCGTGGATTAAGCGAATCCCACATGTCTTTTCTCGCACGCTTCGGTTATAACACAAGAATCACTGGGAAAACCGAGATTATCTATTTTTTTCTGTTTCCAACCGCAATCCAATTTACCGAAATCTTCACGATCGACAACTTTACTAGACGTCAGCTAAGCGATTATGGTTCTAGATCAAAATCCAATGAGAAGGTATCCGCGACTAAAGCTGCACTGAAGCACATTTATTTGGATCATTTATTCCTCTGTTGAAACATTTTGCTTCTGGTAAAACCATTGCAACTTTAAATCACAAAATAAGTCCATCGTCATAATCAGGACACGGATCGTAGGCGAAAAATCTGTTTTGTAACCGAATCTCCACCACATGAAACACTTGATGTCGATTGATGACTCGGGTCTACTCCAATGCTAATGCGCATGATTAATCCATTGATATCTCTCTGATCAATTAAAAGTATTCGGTGATTGAATAACGACGAATAGGTCTCGTAGACCATGTGCTTCGTTAGCTCCTCACCTAATAAGGGTTATTCGAGAATGCAAGATCATTGATTGGATTACAGGGTTACGCAAGCTATCAACCATCACGTCAAGCTACAATCAATTCTTAGTGGTTAACCAGTTAAAAGGGATTATTATCCCTCCATTATGAGGCATTGAGCTGTCATACCTCAACCAGGTCTTTTTAAGGTTGAATAGCACTTGTGTCTAATTTGCCAGACCGAAAAAGATTGAATAGGAACACAATGTAGGTGAATTCCTTTTCAAGCCTTAACAATCACATTTATATTAAACAATTTCAGTAGGGTCAAAAAATGGATGAGTCATGTGTTTGGTAGTAAGACCGAGAGAACTCCAAGTTTGTACGCTATTTGGATTACGTAACCAAAAGTCGCTATGTACGTCATGGTCATGTGAACAAACGATTTTCCGTTCCTCAGGGGAGTTTGGAAGCTTGAATCAATTTGCGTTGTGAGCACAACCAATCGCTCATCCCCTCTGCGGTTGCTAACGTCCGAAACCGTGTTGCTCTCGAGGAGTGTGGTGAGATTTGATAAATGATTGTAAATGCCGAGCGCATATCAACCAGGTGTCCCGTCTCGACCAGATGAGCAGCGACCGAGCTTGACACAGTTTCACACCCACCCCCTGTGAGCCAGCTTAGACTATGTTCTTTGATCTGTTGAGAAAACGGCCTTGTCGTTCGACCTACATAAGTCGCATCACAGGTGCACTTGAATTGATAGACAATCATAGATGAGGTCAACATAGGCAGCTTAGCATCGGGTGTTTGGTGACGTAGAGAACACGCATCTTATCTGAGCGGCATTAAAGGTGGATTTCACTGCGGCGGATAAAACTCTACTGACCCTGTCAGCGGCGGCATCACATTTGAATGGGAGTTTTATTAGAAGCACTTTCTTCTCCGCTTTTGGTATTTTTGTCGCACTAACGGATAGTTCTCAGGATAGCCATTTTCCATTAGGTTCTCCTCACTAGTTCAAGTACATCCTTTAAAGTATCTTTTGAACAAATGCACCTTGCTCTCTGCCGGAGTTCATTGTTTCTGAAAGCCTTCAGTTTACAAAAACTTCAGTATGGTCGGGGTATAACCTGGTCGACGGACTACCAGTAGTTCATCTAAAGGAGTTGGTAAAAAATCCTTATTGTTCATTAAGCAAGAAGAGAAGTACATACCAAACCCTGCTCCTGATTCTGACAGTAGTTATCAACGTGATGAGGTTACCTTGAACGTATGACTCCGTTTGAGGGGCGTATGATCCGATGAACTGAACAGTACCTCTTCTCCAACGGATTCCGATTTTCACACCATCCCGATGCCTCATGGGTTAGGCTTTGGCTAGCCGATTGCTCCGGTTGCGAAGCCCCTTCGAAAATGCATCTGCTTTCACCTGAACAACCCGGTAGTAAGCCGCCCACGAGCAGACGATGGACTGATATTTTTATCCAGAATTTTGTCCCGTGATTTGGCACATGGTATAGACTCAGACGATTGCGAAATATTGTATTCTTCAAGTGCACTGGACTCTTTTCCAGACCTTATGCACTTACAGGTTTATATGATGGTGCATAGAGAGCATCATCATCGTACAGCGAGATACAGTGAAGCGAACTCCACTGATCGCTGCCAAACTCACAATGTACACAAATCAAGTGATAAAGCACAAGATGGAGAGGGATTGAGCCTAATTGGAGAGAAGCAAAGAAAGTGGACCTCTGTGGTCAACACACAGAGTACACAATCTAAGTGTGCATACATACCTTTACAAGCATTGCGACCTGGTAAGAAATGACAACAAGAACGCCACTGATGTCGGTTAGTCGCCATATCCTTCAGTGTCTCCAACTAGCCACTTGCAGAGTCTTTCGGATCCCAACCTGGAAGACGGGAGACCCCGATTCTACCCAATTGCTCTGTGCATTTCTTCATGCTTCGTTTCCACGTCATCTGTTGACCTCCACGCGGTTTCTCCCAACCTGGAGATGCAACTACAGATAAGACGCGGTGCGGCAGACGATGGTTGAACATGCGCAATACGTGTCCTAACCAGCGAAGCGGACTAATCTGAATTCGATGGGACAACGAATTCTCCATCGAATCATTACCAAATACTCGACGACTTGCCTCAGAGTTACCGAAAGGAGTTACAGAACTTGCTAGTCTGTCAAGAGCGCATGGCGTATCCTCCATAGATTCGAACAGGCACACGATGTCATCAGCGTACTCCAAATCACACAGCAAAGAGAGCATTGGTCAGTTGTTTCGTCCTTGTTAGGATTCGTCAGCATTGGAGTCGAGATCTTTAGTTTTAAGTTACACGGTCGATGATCGACACTTAGAGCGCATGACTGCATGAACCAGGCCTTTTTCTTCACGGAGATGTCCGGATGGGGAACTTATCATTCACCGTCGATTTGGAATTCACCAACTCTGTTGATGGTGGTCTTGCTCTAAACGATTAAAAATGTTTGAGAGTACATTACACTACAAATAGAATACCGAAGAGGGAGGAGACAAACTCTTATGCACTTTTCGCTCTAGACCGTCTACACCCTTCAACACCCAAATACACACAACATCGTGCTGTGGAAGATAATCCGGCTCTATCTGTGAGTCTAAATTTGGCTCTAGATAGCACAACTATTATGTCCAATTCATGTATGCTTTTTTAAAATCACCACTGGATTTCTCTGTCTCGTCCTGAGTTTAAAGAAGGAATATATTTCTCACAGTTCGATGACCAGCTACTTCTGGTATTCCTTTAACTTGAAGTATCACTTACATTCAGGTTTTTCCAGCGCCGCTCAAGGTGCACCAATCGAGCCGAGTCCGTTCCAAGTTACTCGACCCTTGGGATTGCCCGCTCAATTGGCTGATCGACGTACGATCCGTTTAGACTATGGACCAGCCCACATCACATCTATTCAGTTTGAACCATTATACTCCGCCAACCCGTCCCGCCTTTGCTTTCCTCAGTCGCCTGGTCGATCGATGCATGCAGCTGGTTTGGGAGGTAGAAGGCTACTCGTGAGTCATATGTACGCTCCGGTATTTCTATTTGACCTGAACAAAGAAGAGTTACCCGATGCGTGTGATCCACAGGTGCGTTTATATTTTGCCTACCCACATTTATACAGCAGTATGACCTTAGTTTGTGTTATTTCGGCTCGACCCCCGTCTTGTGTTTACTCCTGTGTTGTCGATGTCTACCATCTGTTCGCATCGTTTGCTGTCATTTTCACACATACGTCTAACCATCAATGAACGTGAAAAAGATGGTTTTCCAAATGTGTACCTGGGAAAACCCTAACCAGGAGACTGGCTCACATAGGTCCCGTTAGGCTTCCTGACTGGGGCCCCCGAGATCATGGTCACCGATGGTTAGAGACACTGAGCGATATGGCTGCGTGTCTCAAACAGTGGCGCTCATGAATCCACTCATTATCCTTGCGACTTCAGTGTATGTAAATGCGCTATCCTCTGCTTGAATATGCTCTCAACATTCTAATTATCATTTTATCCAAATGGGCAACCAAAACAGGTGCACAAAGGTGCATGGTTAATGATTGTAAGAACAGAACAGAATGAACGTGAAATTCGCAACTTAATTATTCGGTCTCCTCACCTGGAATATAACAAATCCGCGTGTTATTGATTAATAACTTAATTTTATTATCAGTGGAATAGTTCGTTCTATCGGACGTTTGCCAGTGCTGAACACCACTGGGCTCCTCTCTTGATGGTTTAAAAGAATATGACAGACTCGTTTTGTTAAACACCCGGTTCTTAAAGCTGAACCTTTGTTGGTCATGGATAAAACTCTTTCACAGGCCGAAATGCTAGGCATAATTCAGGAACAGGCCTTAGAACTAGGGAGGTTGAAGGCTGAAGTTAACGCTCTCGGTGACCAGGTCGCCAAACTCAACGCCCTCATGTTGAACTCCCCAGTT